CGATGTCTCCGTTGCCGCGTCGAACGAATTCAGGCCCAACTTGGGTAACATTGGATTCGATCGCCCTCGGGACAATGACTCTCGTGCAAAGATGCCAAGGACAGAGGATCCCGACTACTCTCGCAAGCTCGCCGCACACAAGGCTTTCCTCAGGGAAAGGTATGTGTATGAAGAGGTTGGCTATGTGCGAGAGGATTTCCAGATGCTCGTCCGCGTCATCAATGAGGCTTATGGAGTGGACTTCTTCTCCTACATCCAGCGCCACGCCGGTGATCTGGAGGTTCGCCGTAAATACACGGTGCGAACCCCTGAGGGCTATTGTCTCTGTGACAGTACCCTGAAGCAGCCGTTCAACGGCAGCTACCTCCTGGCGGTTCTGGAGAAAGTCTTCGCTGAGTCTGACCAGCGCGATTTCAAGTCAGCTTTCGCCCGCAAGGCAAAAGCTGATTTAGTGGCGTACGAAGACTTGAAGGCGAAGAAGGAGTCTGAGCTGAATGAGCTCCTCACCCGACCATATGACGACATTATGATCGAGGAGTTCATCGAGCGACTCCCATGTCCACAGATCGAGGAGATCGAGGAGCCTCCCGCGGCTACTCAGATGGATACCTCCGAACCGTCGTCTGGATCCACGGACTTGCCACAGGGCAAGAAGGTTGATCCGGTTAAGACCGAGCCGACCGATGTGCCAATGGAGACTGAAGCTCCAGAAAGCTCTCCACAGGGAGAGGCATCTGGGGCTACTGTCGAGCCAATGGATACGGACGCTCCGGAAAGCTCTCCACATGGGGAGGCATCTGGGGTGGATGTTCCACAACAGAAGACCGAAGCCACGGAAAGCTCTCCACAGGGAGAGGCATCCGAGGTGAAGGTCGAACCTGATGTGCACATGGGTCAGGAAGGAGGTAAGTCCGAGAACGTCGAAATGGCTGAGGAAGGCTCACCACAGGGTGAGGAATCCATGCCAGACATTTCTCCCGAGAAGGATGATGAAAGTGAACTTCACGATCAAGGCATCTGGGGGAAATGCAAGACTGTTCCGGATCCTGAGTACTACCAGGCCGCGAAGGATGCAGAGGACCAGAATGAGAACGCGTTCGACAAGATGGGCAAGGCAAAGGAAAAGATCGAGCTCGTCGATCTCGAAGAGTTCAAACATTTCCTTACGCAGCTCACCGAAATCGAACGACAAAGCCCTATGCGGATGCTCTGCAAGCAGTTGCGTGGATATGGCTATTCAGGCTTGTATCATACAGGACTTCGTGATCCTGATTACGAGCCCGTTCTCGCCTACAAGGTGCAGCATATGAGTTGGAGGGTAAATGTTCCGAACCACAAGGGACAGAAATACTCTCTCTCTATGGTGGATCTATTCGACCAACTCAACAAGATGGATCCCATCTACGAGCATCGTCCCGACAAAAAGGACGTTGTTTTTCGTTCTGGGGACGTTCGTAGCACCTTGGACGACAAGCTCATGGGCAAGGCCTCTGACATCCGAGAATCAGCACTGGATGTTATGGAAGCACTTCTTGATAAGCTGAAGTCCCTGGATGCAAGCGGCAATCCGGCAACTCGAGAAGAACTTTTGAATGCTATGCTTCACTACTTCTTGAGCACCGGAGTCGATGAAGAGGAGATCGGGGACCTCTCTCTTGAGAAGACGCCGAATCCTTATATTCATCGTTTTGGTCTGGCAGAGGACTCCAATGTCCCTATCTTCACCAGCAAGACCAAGTATGCCGCGCTCATCCTCAATCTCGGCAACATGAGCAGGGGAAGAAAGCGTTCCGCTCCTAGCTCCGTTGCTAATCACATTGACTGGGACGATGCTACACCATCTAAAGGAGCCTTGATAAAATCGATTGCACAGTCGAAGACGCATTTGTTCATGCTCTGCGAAGCGGCTAAGATCGATGACTCCGAAGAGGCCTTCCTCAAGTCACGCGGTTGGCAATTCCTTCGTAACGAGTCCAAGGACCTGATGGTGGGAAGTCGTACAAATGGTGTCGGATCTTCGATCACCCGTCTTGCCGGCTCCACTCTCAGTGGATATGCCCACGAGTCCCTTCCAATAACCTATATGGTCGCGGAAATCGTGTATGGCATGACGTTACCGACCGGTCTCCAGGGCAGTCGTGGTGATGTTCCAGATGAGTCACTGACCAAGGTCTTGGAGCGAGCTGGATCCGACCGGCTAAGAGTTTGTGTCTTCCACCTCCACAACGACGCGGCGGCAGACAAAGTGGCGTTGGCTCATGAAGTGTTGGGCAACATGTTCATCGACTGCTTGCACTACCAAGTCGACCTCATCGGTGGCGACGCCAACATGGCCCTCTACCGGGCCACCGGCCGAAAGCAGGAGTCGATGGATATTCGTGGCGGAATGTACCAAAGCCTTCTCGACTACTTCTTGGAGGCATGGTCAGAAAGCCCAAAGTGCCCACACTTCTGTTCGCCTCGTGCGAGACATGTGTCAGCAAACGCCATGTGGCTTCTGAAACAGTATGAGGACACGCTGGGAATGCCATACAAGGAAGCTAAGCAACCAGACTGGAATACTTTTCCTGGTTTGGATCCTGTTATGGCTACAGTCATGGAATGGGGACACAGCATGTCGGACGATCAATGGGCGGAGTTTCCGTCTTCAAAGACTGAGTTCGACATCCATGTCTCTGAGTGGCTGTTAAACTCCACCAGCGCCGCGTACCTTCTCAACGATCGGGACTATGACGCTCACACTCCGCTCCTCATCGAGGTTCACTCGAACCAGTACTCTGGAGGCAGGATGAGAGCGCTCAACCGCAATCCCGACACCATGAAGGAAGCCGCGGACAGAAGAAAAGAGAGACAGAAGCTGAACAAGGCGCGTGGTTCTGGTTCTACTGGTCCTGCAGCCGCACCACAGGGAGCAAGCTCTTCTCAGGAAGAGGCAGCTTCTGGTGCTAAAGCTTCTGGTTCTCAACGTCCTCAAGAACCCGCACAACCTCCTGGTGGCAAAGAAGGCGGCAAAGGAGGCAAGTCCTCCAAAGGAAAAGGCAAGGACGCCGACAAGGGCAAGTCCAAAGGCAAGTCCAAGGACAAGTCCAAGGGCAAGAGCAAGGGGAAACACTGACTAGGTTCCGATTCTTCGGATGTGGAAATGGACAATGGACTCGACGAGGTTCTTTTGGAACAAGATGATGCCGTTGCTCCTGATCCACAGATCTCGTTACCTAGATCCCCTGCTGATCCCCGCGGTTACGACCCTGTTCGCCATGCTCCGGTGATGCCGATCCACACGGTTGACATTTACCGCTGGCATGGTACTGAACATTGGCGTGATAGAACCTGGGATCGCGACATAGAGTTCATCGACTGAACTGGCAGAGTGTTTCACGGAATGCTTCTTTCAGAAGAAGGTATCCACTTGAGCATTCGTCATTTCATAGGGAGATGCTTTTCTCAGGAAAAGGTACTTCCTAAAGAACTCTTTCTCAAAGAAAGATACTTATCTCAGGATAAGATACTTCTCATGCCCTTATATATTTGCCGTGTCGCAAGATGTCATGCTGGCATCAAGTGGAGCTAAGCTCTACAATCTTTTATGTGACAGTAAGCTTTCCGCCTGGAGAGGAAACTGAACACAAGTGGGCAACTTTCAAGCAAAAGTTTTCAGTTGAAGATCCGTTTGCGTTTTCGTGCGTGTTCTGCTCTTTTCATTGAAGCTGTCTTCAGGTGAGAGATGTATAGATTCTCTTCAAGTCGCAGATGTAGCTCAATACTCCGCTAATTCGACCGAGAGCAATAACAGGCTAGTTGAATGCCGACTCCACGGCCATGCAGCTCTACGTGTTTTAAATTTGTGCCTGGTTGAAACACTGAATGTTACACATCCAGGTGCCTGTCTGTTTCACGTATCACTTGCATGTATCCATGCCTGTTGCTCAAGGTTCTAGTGCAGTGGACTACAGCTGTGCGCCTGTAGCAAAAGAGACACCTGAGTGCCTGTGTTCCTGTACGCCTAGCGAGGGGATACACGTCCAGGTTACATCTCAGGGGGAGGGGAGGGAGAAATCAGGTAAAATGGGGGGAGGAGGGGGGGGGAAGGCCTGGGAGAGGGGGGGGAGGCCGACAAATCAGGTAAAATGAGGGGAAGCCGGGCAAGGGGGTGGCAAACGAACGCAAAAAGCGGGTGTGTATCGATCGATCTACAGGTGTATCGTTCTATCCTCCATCTATCCTATCTATCGATTGGGGTGCGGAGTCGTGGACTTTGTAATTGGTTTGACCTTGCGCTGTTCAACCGAGTACCCTGCAATGCGGGCCTCGTCCTTGCCATGTAGGAGGGAAGAATCTATCGATATGGATCGGTCTGGCGGTCTATCGATCTGTGTAGCGATCCGCGTTTCTATATCTGTCTGTCTATCTACCTGTCTATCGGTCTGCTTGTCTGTCTGTCCGTCCGTCTGTCGGTGTGTCGGTGTACCTCCCTCTCTGTTCATCTATCTACCTGTCTACCTAGCCAGCCATTTTCTTTCTTACTACCATCATTTACCTATCTACGTATCTGTCTGTCTTTCTATCGCTTGGTCTATCGATCCACCACCTATCAATTTATCGGCCCACCTACATACCTACCTACCTACCTACCTACCTACTATCTGCTTATCTACCTATCTACTTACTTATTTATCTATTCATCTATTTGTTTAGCTGTCCGTTTATATAACCGTTTAAATATCCACCAATCTGGCTATCTACCTTGTTTATCTATCTGTTTATCTACTCCTATCTCTCTGTCTATCGACCGACCATCTGTCTATTATATCTGCGTGTCTATCGGTCTATCATAGTCTATCTATCCATCCATCATCTATTTAGCTGTGTGCTGGACAGGTACTTGCGGTAGGTAGGCAGGCAGGTAGGTAAGGGGCAGGCAGGCAGGTCAGCAGGTATGGTAGGTAGGTATAGCACTGAAGCGGGTAGGTCGGCATATCTTAAAAGCTGATTCTGCGAAGGAGGTAGCTCGAGGCTGGTCCTTCAAAAGCTTTCTGATGGCAGCGGGCCTTCCTTCGCTGAGCTACCTCTTGCAGAATTTGTGCATCCAGGCTGGTTCGTTGCGCCACTTCGGAGCAGAAAGCCGAGGCCGATAGTGTTAAACTCTAACAGGTGGCGTACCAACAGCTGGACGGCATCGTTTTTAACATCTTGAACCAGACAAAGATGCTTTTCACGGCTTTCTTCGTCTACCTGATCCTGGGAAGGCGGCAGTCTCCCGCGCAGTGCTGCGCGCTTCTGCTCCTGTCCTTTGCTGGTGTCCTCGTGAGCCTCTCGGAGGCAAAGGAGGCAAAGGCCTCCGGCTCGGCGTCGGCGTCGAGCTCTGAGAGCTTTTGGATGGGCATCTGCTGCATCGTGTCTGCATCCGCACTGTCTGGCTTCGGCGGGGCCGTCTCCGAGTGGGTTCTACAACGAGAACAGCGCAATAGCTACCTCTTTAGCTGTGAGATGGCCGTCCTTGGCTGCTCTGCGATCTTTGCGGGTCGCTTCTTGAGCAGCTTGTGCCCATCTTCGGCCTGATTTGCATTGTTTTGGGATTGTGTTGTTGTCAGTTCAGTAGACGTCCACCGGCAGCCTCTTCAAAGTCAGGTCATCAGCAGGAGGAGGGTCTCTTTGAGCGCTGGACTGGGCGAACCCTCATCCCAATCCTGACGCAGGACTAGCAGAGACCCCATGAGAACCCCCCTTGAACCTTCGATCTCGAAGCCCGGAAAACCCTAGACGAAAACGCTCTTCACGCAAGCTCCATAAGCACTCAGCTGTTGGTGATGGTGTATAGGTGAGAAGAATGTCAAAACCGGCTCGAAGAGGCCCCGAAGTAGCGTCGAACGACAAAGCAACAAAAGGGCTGGGGCGGCATCGTGGTTGGCCTCATTGCAAAGACATCTGGGAGCGTTCGCAAGGGTTTTGCTGTGATGGTTGGCCTCCTCTTGACCTGCCCCTTGGCTGCCCAGGCTGAGAAGTCTGAAAACAGAAAGCGTTGCTTCGGGGCTTCGGGAGACTGTTTCCCAATCCGTGTTGCCGGCTTTGGGCACCGGGGCATAGCCAGGCCCAGCCGTTTACGTTGGGTCTGTTGTGGTGAATTTACCGTGGGACGCCGCTGCGTGCAACCACGCTTCCTGCTTTTGTTGATTGAGGTACTGGGATACCCGAAGCTGAATTTTAGGCGACTTGCTAGAAGACGCGGGTAACTGAAGGGTTTGCGCTGTGGAATCAACATATTGGCAGCAGCCAGTTCCAAAGCCACATGGTCGTAGCGAAAATAGTCGCCGGTACACCCATCATGCGAGCAAAACTATGTTTCACTTCATTGCAGGTGGAGCGATGGGAACCGGTGTTGTCGCTGTTGGAGGCAAAAAATGCGATTTCCAACAAAGATCTTGGATCAGACGACGTCATGATGTAACGTCCTGGAGTCCTTTCATCAGCACCTGTAGACCAGGCACCCCCCAAAGCCATCGCTGACTAATTACTCCCGCGGAATTCAACAGTGACAAAGGCTTGCTGAAGTGGGCGGTGGAGGGCAAAGAACTTAGCTGGTCCGCTGTCGTTGCAGTGCCGCTGGTGGCTCTAGACCTTTCAGCAACCCTTTTGAGGGGCTCAAATGCTTGGGAGAATTTTGAGTCGCAGAGGGCTTGGTTGGAAAGGCAAGTGTAGGCAAGAAAATGGCTTTAAGACATCTTGTGATCTACTCGTTTTTCTGCTTTTTCCAGCTTCGGCCCGAGATTCCAAGCTCGCCAGCACGAGGTGGCACTGAGCATCTACCTGCACGCGCGGTATCCCCCTCAACCTTTGGCAAAGCGGTCCTAGGTCCTGAGTCCTGGCACTCGCAGCGGAAAAAATGCGTGCCGCCTGCTGGGGTGTGGATGTATGCGAATAGGCAAATGGTATGTTGACATGACAGCCCCCACTCCAACCTTCCGAACCACATCGCTTGTCGCCACACTCTGTGCACTTGACAAGTAAGGATTCCGAGATGACAGGGTCGGACGACCGGGGCGCAGAGGCTGGCGACAGCTTATGAATTGTCGAGCGACGATGCATCTCACAGCATGGCCGTAGGAAGGGTGCATGGTCTCCATCTATCGTGGCGATTCAGCGAGGACACTCTGATAATTTGTTTTCGATGCTGACTCGAGCGTCGACAACGACGAGCTGGTGGATGAAAACCGCCCCTCCTGACATCTTCTCCTCAAATGTGTGGCTCGGTCTGTTGATGCTTCCGTGCGGGAACTGAAGTGGGTGCAGCTTTGTTTCAAGAGTGTGGATCGCTGTTGAGGAAGCGAACAGCTCGAACTTTAGCTGGCCCAAATCCCAGTGAGCCTAAGCCCTAAGCAGCAGGGAGCCAGAAGTTGGGGTTTTTGCTTGGCAGGCTCCGGCCGAAGCCGGAGGTGCAGGGCCGGCCGACACGGGGGCTGGGGCAACTTGGTGGCTTCAATTCCACCAGAAGCCTTAATGACGGTGGTGTCTGCTGTCCTTCCGACAGAAGTGTCTAGAACCAGCTTGACCTGACCACCACAGCTTAAGACGAGACAGGAACGGCCACAGTCTCAATGAAGCCCAGCTTGGACATTGAAGGCCCGACCGACTCAAGGCTCTGTTTCGAGGAGGCACCGAACACGTTTGCATCCAAGGTTTCGGCACCCACTGGCCATGCGGAAGAGACGCCTGGCTCTCGGAAGTGCAGTTGGCTTCCGAGCTCCTCCAGGCCTCCAGCTTCCAGGATCCTTCTGCCATTTTATCTTCCAGCGGATTGCTTCCTCGCCCTCGTCCGCTCTCTTCACATCGGATTCTACTCAGCAGGAGCCAAAAGCAGTCTAAGGATCTCCCAGAAAGCTAACGCTGATCAGGGATGTGAGTTGCAGAGACCACCACACCCACCCCCCTACGTTCCGACGCCTTGCGCCCAGTCCTGGGCTCCGCGGCAGCACCACCTCCAAGCCGCGGCCCAAGTTCAGAGAAGCGCAGCTTTCTAGATTGGAAAGGTTCCTGGTGTCGTCTCGTCAAAAGCAATAAATACACACCGCTGCAACCTTCTCCAGGAGGCGTGGCCATCAGTGTGTGCTGTTCGGGCTGGTCTTGAGGATGTATGTGCTAGTGCCCTGACCTGCCGAGTGCCGTCCGAGGGGGTTGGAACAAAATGACCTTAAGTTGCTCCAGCTACAGTTTCTGAGGCAGACTCGCTTCGATGCAGAGCCGCCCGAGCAGCATGCGATTTCAACTGAGCAGCCTGCAGCACCTCCGGCCGAGGAGAAGGACCGCAGTGCCAGCTCGTTGCTTTCTTCCCATGTGTCTGCTTTTTGTTGGATTGTCTCCGGGTTTCTTTTATGCGGAGTGTTAACCTCGGTCCCTGGCATATGCGTAGTCCAGGTGTAGAATGGGAAGTGCTAAAAGGGTGCGTGCATCCCCAGCTGTATTGGACCACGACCTAAAGCAGGGAGGAGCCTTCAACTCTCAAGGAAACAATCTCTGCTTCCGGAACCGAGCTGTGAGAAGCTTGCCAGGAGGTTGCGAAGAAGCCGAGCCGAGCTCGAAAGAGTTGGTTTGGCGGCGGGCGCTGAGGGTGAGGGGCTAGGAGCAGGGACTTGGGGCCTTGGGGGCCCCCTGAAAGACCATCCGAATCCAATGCCTCCTTGGCCAGCGACGGATCGCACACACATCAGGCAGACAACTCCAGATTGCCCTGGTTGGTTTCAGCTGGCTGTGCCTGGAGTGCCAGCTGTGTAGGCTAAGACTAGGACTTTCGAGTGCACGCAGCATTCAACGCCCTGCTAAAGGCAAGACGTTGCACAGCGTTGGGCGTTCTTTCGGAAGTTCGCACCGAACACGGGGGAATGTGTTGGGCTTCAAATTAGGCAGATATGGTTTGGAAGGTTCAGCCTAACGGTGGTCGGCTGAGACAGAACCCTGGGTTGCGCAGACATCTTCTCCCACTTGCCTGGCACAAGTTAACGAGCAAGCCCAATGTCGGTTGTTCTGCAACAGCTTGGCTCTGCAAAAGGTTGTGCATCCATACTGCGCTGGGCATATGAGCGGCACAAGCGTGAGTTACTTTGTGCTGCGTCACATTCTGTATTTTTGCTGCGGCGCTGCGACACGTAATTGCAACTCCCAGGCTCGAGCGTGCAGTTCTGCTGACTCAGAAGGCTCGTCGAGCTCTCATGTTGCATTGTCCTTCCTCTTCGAAGCACCGGGTGACCTGGTTTTTATGCCTTCCAAACGAGTGTCGTCTGCCCGTGAGCCCTTGAAGCCTGGAGAACCAGGCCACTGCTGAAAGGCTTCCGACAAGAGTCTCCATGAGAGCCTTTGATTTTTTTGGTTGTTCCGCCATTATCTTTGCAGGGCTATACAATATACTACCTCAGAGACTCGAAAGTGAAGTGGGCCACTTCGGTAGTGGGAAATACGGTGGACCATGTGGAGCCTTGCCTGCCTCGTGCGATTGTGAGTTGCATACGTTTTAGTGTCCTGCCCCGCCTTGCCCAGACGGTGGACATTTGCAGCGAAGGGCCGCTGGAAGTGCTCGAAAAGTGCGGTGCCACAGACGCCACAGAATCCTCAGGTCCAGGAGCAGGCTAACTGATTCTGACTGCGTCGTGCGGTTCCATCGATTTAGTTGCTCTGCAGACGCTTTGGTCTTTCGTGGTGGAGATTGGCTTAGGCTTTCAGCCACAGAATCCTCAAGCTTCAGCCTGGAGCCACGCAGTCCAAGCTTTTCTCAGGTTCCGCAAGTACTCGTACTTGCTGTCCGAGAAGGTGGAAGGCCGGGGGGCAAGCTCAGCTTCACGATTGGACTTTCAAGGTCTTGAGCTGATGCACCTCGAAGCTTAAGGTATCCTTTCAGCCGATGTGCCTTGCATGTCTCCATGTTCCAGGTGTAAGTTAAATCGGAGCAAAGGATGTGATAATCCCCGCCGCCATGTCCAGCAATCGCATCAGGTATGTGTTGAAGATTTGAAGCGCCCAGGGCCAAGGTAATTGACCGATGAACACAGCCAGCTCGGCTGCAGCGCGATATGCCGAAGCCTTCAAGCGGGGCCAAAGGGCCGCAAGGGCAACACCAGTCACTTTTCCTGTTAGCTGCATGCTGCCGTGTCCGCTTTGCGGCAGACTTCGACCCGACTGACATCGACGCCTGCCGCGAGCGCTTGGCCCCCAGTCCTGAGCCGCAGTGTGCCAGGCCTTGGCCCGATAAATGTACCAGGATCAGAATTCGAGGGCCTAGGGCCTACTCCTCCAGACCCAGATGCCCTGATGTGATGAAACGACCATGTGCCAACATGTAATTGTCAAGTCCGTGATCGTCAATTTTTCCGAGTCCGGAACTGGCGCCCTGTCAGAAACCCGAGGCATCGAGGGTTATCGAAATGCAAAGTACGAAGTGCAAGTTCTCTCTGAGAGCTTCAAGGACTGCAGCCCAAGTGCAGGTGTTGAATGCAAGCTACACAGATCTTTTCATTGAGATTCCTTCGTCTCTGCAGGACTTCCCTTTCTTTCGGCTGCGATGCGCCAACATGATCGAGACGTTGGCTGAGAAGGCTCGTCTATTTCATTCTACACCCAGGTTGCTACGTAGTTGGTAGGGCTGTCAGGCAGTTCCCCGTGCTCAAGAGTCTTTCAGGGCAATCTGCGGCCGCGGCGGCGGGGCAATGCACCGAATAATTCCATGCGAACACGTCCAAACCACAGAAGCTGTGTGGCCTCAACTTCACAAACCATGACTGCCGACTGCCAGCAGAGTCAGTGGTGATTCTTTGCAGTTTCAGAGTTTTGGTAGAAATCTCACTGCCCAAGCGGTTGTCTAGCTACAGTTACTGTATTGTCAGACAGCGAGTGGATGAGAGACAAAGTCCGAGGTTTGTTGCGGTGTTGTCCTTCATGTTCTGAATAATGGTCGCGAAGAGTGACACCGTGAATGCCTGCCTCCGGTATACGCCCCACGCGCAAACCAGACCCTTAGAACACCAGTCTAGTCTTGTCGGAAACGAGTCAGAATTTTCTCGACTGTTTCTTCTCCACATAGCCGCGCACGAAAGAAGCACCCGGCCGCAGCAGGCCAGTCGGATGACTGGCACATTTTGTAAGGCTTTTCAGACCCTTCAAGCTCTAAGCTTCTTGATGACAAGCAACCTGGAGCTACCTGCTGCAAATACATGCGCCGCACATGGCACTTCGCAGGCTGAAGCCTTGGCACAGGAGTGCCTTCGCCTCGGCCTCAGTGGCCGTCCGAGCTCGGCTCGCTAACCGCGGCAACCGTGTTCCTGTTGCAGAGTTGAGCTGACGGCAAGTCTTCGGCCAGGGCAGTGCAATGCCAACATCGAAGAGAGGGCAGATGCCATTTTGGAAGAGTGGGTGCTCGGCTCAGCTCGGAGCAACAAAACATCAAGCTGGACGGTGATGGGACGACAGAGCAGTGTACCTTGAGCAAGGACTCCACGCACAAGCGGATTCTCGCCAGCCCGGACTCGGAGAAAGACATGGCATCGCTCGCGGAATACTTAACGGGAACGAGTTTTCAAGTCAAATCTGGGCCGATCAGCAGCATGAGCCTTTTTCCGGAAATGCCTTTCGTTTGGAGGCTTAGAATGGAAAATCCCTTCCAAAGCTTCTTTTTCCTGCGAAGCTCCCGGGCTTTTATGTTGCCAGGCGGAGCTCCGTGAGTTCATGGAGGTTGTCCAGAAGAAAGTGGTGAAGCCCTTGATGGCTGCGGCCTCGTCAGGGATCATGCGCTTGTGGTCGTCTAGTTATCTGGTTCTAGTTCACTTCACGTGGGCCCGATCTAGGACCAGGTCGAGATGTGTGACTCGTGCAACTCGTGCCTACAGGGCCGAAGACGTGCCTGATCTTTCTCTTATCGTCAAAGCTGAACTCCAAACCGAGAAGCCGCTATCCTTCTCCCTGCAAGGCCCAACATTTGGTCGCGGCTCCAGCTCCTCAACCTTTTCTTCCCTTGATGCAAGGAGCGCACCCGAGTGGTGCACCAGCAGATGAACATGGTCGAGGACTTTGGCCACGACGCGGGCTCCCCGAGACTGTGCAGACAGTGCACCGCTGCATCCGTTTCGGGATTTGGCCTTGGCTCTCTGGCGGTAGGCCTCCTCCCCTACACATCCTGAAACTGAAATTCAGCAACAGCGGCGCGGACTAACCCTGATTCAAGCAGAGTCACGCTTGGCCTGAGGTGGGTGGCGAAGTTGTGGAAAAAGCCTTCCGCTCGCTGCGGCCTTTGTTCGGCTCCGGCACCACAGACCAAGAGGTCAGCGCGCTGTTCCAGTCTTCCGTCAGGGTGCAGATTCCCAAACTCAGGTTCGAGTGGCCTTTGCAGATCAACATGGATGTGATGGAGCCGCGGGCTTGGCTATGCTGAGAGAAGCACCGCTCTTTCTGACAACCGGACCTCGAGCATTTTTGCAGGATCGGAGGAGGGTCTGGGGGCTCTGTGAACAGAGGGGAAGCCTGCGCTGCACTTACTGTTTGTCAGGGCCGACCGCCAATTGAACAAAGACAAGATCGCCTTTATGGCCAGAGCCTTGGAATGCTGCGGTTATTTTCTGCTCTTGGCTGCCTTTGCAGAGCTAGACAGACCGGTCGGTTTGTCCCAGGCCGCCGTTTTGCGCTTTATCGTTGTGCCTTGCCCGCATGCCCAATACAGGAGCAGCTCCAACGCGAAGTGGAGGAGTACCAGAAGGACTTCCAGAACTACTCTGCTGTCTCAGCCTCGGGTCTGCCTTTCCATTCACTGCAGAAATGTCCAAAGACTCTTTTTGTAGAAGCAAACCGAGAAAGCAACATTATACTCGTAGTTAACCACAAGCCACAAGCCCAAGGAATTGGAATGGGTCAAGAGCCTGGACTCCTACGCCGTGGCCGGCCAAGTAGCGCAGAAAATCTTCTCGCTTCAGGAGAGCCTGCCATCTCGGGGTCTACAGTGTACAACCCGGGAAGCCTAGGCCCAGGGTAGATTGGACTTCGGGTTTGAGCCTTTCGTCGGCTGAAGATTTCATCGACACCAGAATCTACAATATCTACTTGTAATCCAACAAGAATCCTCACCAATGCTTTGCTGCATGTGAGATATGGTCGCCCCACCTTCCTTCCCCATGCAAACATGTTTATGTCAAGACGGTGGGTTTCAGTAGGTTTCAGCGGCAGTTCTGAAGATTTCTGAGAAATGCGCCCGAAGGGTCCCGGAAGCTGGCAATCAGCCAGCTACACTTCCATCAGTGCCAGCAACGGCTTCGGCAACCCAGAAGCTGCCAATTGGCCAATTCCTCTGCATTCGCAGGACAATCTCGTCAGAGCAACAGAGAGGGCCGGACTCTTGGAGGGGTCGAATCGGGTCTCTACCTGCTCTCTCCCTCTCTCTGCATCTCGCAGCCTCTCCCCCGCCCAAGGCCGCTCGAAGAGACAACAGAAGATCAGCTTAGTCAATCGCTTGCTCTGTCGATGCTGTTTAGCTTTTTAGCCTTTGTACAGCATTTTCAAGTCACTGAATATTTGAAGATGCTTCAATGAAATCCAGCCGAGCCCTTGAACAAGGTCAAGTCGTTCTCTGACCGGGAGAAGCTCTTTCAGATCGATCAACGAGACTATTCTGATCTTGAAGCCTGAGCCTGACGATCCAAGGGAGACCGGTGCACCCGATGTTTCGAAGCAAGCAGTTCTCGTATCTCTCTTCGGCGTTGAAGCCTTCAGCCTAAGGTTCTCCAGGATGAGTTCAAGCCCTACTTCGACCTCTGGTCCATGGCCATCGACTACAATGGGTCAGCGTCTAAGTCTCCGAGGTTTTTTGGGATACCTGCCTGCAACAGTTGCTGGAGGTATAAGATCCAATTTCTGGGGGTTTTATAGCTGGAATGTCGGCCCTCGGAGTACCGCATAAAAGCTATCAGCTATCAAGCGTGTTTGGTCAGGCAGATCACAGGCTCGCTTCGCTTTACATACCTTGTCCAGCTAGATTACTTCAGCGATGAATGGAACACCAATCGAGCATCCTGTTGATCTGTTTGGCTTTGGTGTTACGGCGAGGTGTGAGGAGGAATGGCTCAGCGGCAAGCTTGCAAACTTGACAGCCAACGAAGTGGAACAGACCGTCGACGACAACTTCAAGGACACATCACTGCGATATCCGCAAGTCGCAGAGAGTGGCCGACGGCACAGACGTTCAAGCGGCCTAGGCCCGGGATCAGCAAAGGCTTCACGTCACCGCCAGGACTCTTACAAGGCCTTCAAGTCCTTCGAGGGGTCGCCGAATCCACAAAAGGTGGCTCAGGACACTTCCGAGTCCCGAGTCCCGAGCCGAGTGTGGCGTTGACTGCCTGAATTCTCGCATTCCGACCGGTCAGCCTGCAGGTTTTCCTTTGGTCTTATTTCTCGTCTTGCGCTGGAGATCCAGCCCAGTCCAAGCGCAACTGGGTATAAGCGAGGCACCCGAAAGCCGAAGCAAAAGGCAGATGCAAGCCTGTGGTTCAATGCAGTCCCAGGAAGCTTCTCACCGTTCCTCGCCTCTCTTGAATGTGTGCCTCCTGCAGACTGCAGGAGCTCAGAACCGCAGTGCAGGCCTTCAAGAAGAACATGCCCATCATCCAGGCGCTCGAGCTGCTAGCAAGCTTTTGCCGGCAGTGCTGCCGCTAACACCATGCTGGCTCACCCGCCGAAGGTTTTGGGTGTCGCATATCTGGGTAGAGATCCGATCCCCTTCGTGCTTTGCCGCGCCTGAGGGGCTCTGTCAGCCGGCGATCAAGACCTCGCACCTCCTTCAGCTCTTCGAGGCCCCGGCCGTAATGCACGCAGCGATGCATGCAGCGATGCACGACACTGCGGGCTCTTCCGATTCGCCTCCCAGGATATGGATGTTGACATCGATATGGAGGATGGCCTCACGCTGACAATGCCACTTTGACGAATTGGATCATGTGACAATTGACAGCTTCAGTTTCCGACAAGCAGGCAAGAATGTAGGACATCGTCAGGCAAACTGCACACTGATCTTGACCTGACTCCTGCACACAGAACAGTCTAGAAGAAGGGAAGAAGGAGCAGAGGAGTAACCATAGGTATCCGATCCGATTGTCAGGTGCTTGGAGGCAGGTATGCTCAACCACATCGACAAGGCACGCTACACTACGTTTGTTGGTGTGCGCACAATTCGGGGTATGCACAGAAGAGAACTCCTGCAGTTTTGCGTCAAGGGGCCTGCTGTCGGCAGGCACCAAGGCTGCGGCCGCCTATACACAAAGCCCCAAACATAAGTTTCAACAGGAGTGATGCCTGACTGGTGGTTCGGTAAACTGATTGAACTAGTTCGTGGCGCCTCGGATTACTCTGTGACTTGTAACACCTTTTGGCCCAGCCAAAACCTCGGAGTCGCGCCTGTCAACATCACGACATCCCGGTGTGACAGGTGGAAGCCATCAGTACGTCGGCTCAAAAGCAGCATGGGTTGAAGGCTGGGGCTACTTTGTGAGCGGAAGTCTTGTGAAGCGCAAGCGTATTTGCTGGACTCAGCGGGGCAACTAAGTCTCAGGACTTAGGATTCGCCCACGGTAATCTATAATCTCGTGATTTGCACAGGTAGCCCTCCAGACCATGAAGAACGAATGGAAGTCGATGGCGCCGCCTGGCCAGTAAGTAGTTATGCTGTAAGCCGCTATGACATGGCCGTGCCACAGAAACCTTCAAAAATAACTGCTCTCCATGTGCACATGCGACCAAAGAGCCTAGGCCTAGGCAATCCGCTCACACCATGCCGGTTGGGCAGTTCAAAACTTTTCGTAAAACGTCCACAGCTGTCTAGGGTCTAGAGGGCATGCCTATGCAGTGCTTGTGCAGTCTATCATAAATCGCTAGGTGCAGCGTGGCGACCCATGATTCCATGATTCAACAAAACTTACACGAGCGTGCTTAAGGCATTAAGTGAAGCAAGACCATGTAGGAAGTGACCTGGTGCGACCCAGGTTTGGAACCCTGCCCTACAAGAACACGGGCACATTTCTTCTCAAAGGACGGAGTTTGTGGTCAAGGGCAATCTCTGAAAGCCGGTGCGGGGATTTTCAGATGATGACCCTGACTCAGGTGCTCACGCAGAGAGTATCTCTACTTCAAGTCCCGTGCATGCCAACTCTCTCTCTCTCTCTCTCTCTCCTGCAAGCTTCCCCACGAGCGTGTTCAGAATGGCTTATTTCCGTTTTCAGAAGTCTGGCATTTTTTTTGACGACAAGGAGCTGATGATGTGCAGGCTCTCCTGGACGATCACATCATCAAGACCCAGGCCACGCAAATAGACGGAGGCTGAATGGTTCTAGACTCTAGACTAGAGCCAGTGCTGATTTCCGAGAGCAGCAAAAACCGTGGCCAACTCCAAGAGAATCCCTGGCGCGAGGGTTTGTAGCGAAATCATAATGTGTCCTGCTATTGCTGCTGGTGGCGGCCGGAGCACCAGAGTAAGTCTCAAGCTCCGATAGCTCAAGTCCGAGGCCGTTCGAGGCTCGCCTTTCGTCAAGCCCATCGAGAAGGAGGTCAAGGTCAGGGTGTCCATGGTTTGGACAGATCGCCACGCCTCTGACTGTTGATCATAATCGTATAATCGTCCTCCTGCTCCTGTAATTTGTGGGCTCCTCCTCCTGCTACGTACTACTACGAGGAATGTCCTTTGGGCTGGCTTCGGTAGGCAGGAGTCTCTAAGTGTCAAGGTGGCAGAGCCTCGACTGTTTAAGCGCATGTCGGCACGAAGCTGAAGAAGGAGAGCATTTGCTTGGTGTGTTGATGAGAGTCGAACCGTTCACGCAGGACTGGGAAGCCAAGCTCATCTACATCCAGGACGCAGGGCAAAAGGGGCAGTCGTGACAGCTTCGCCGAAGCATGATCTGGGCAATCGTTGCCAGGCCGTGACGTCCTTCGCTTGTTGTTTTGGTCTCCAGACCCTTTTGATACAGCAGCTCCTCAATTCCTTCGGCACAATGGGGGTGGCATCTTCCCAATTGTCAGTAGTCGCTCTGCCAGTTGACTCAAACTCCCTGTGCAATGCAGGGTGCATGCACGAGCCGTATTCCGTTCGAACGTGAGCGTGTGTGCGTGTGTGCGGGTGTATGTTCATTCGCGTACCTTAGAGTCTGCACTTCAAGCCTGACCCAGCGGATAAAGGCTGAGATTTGGCACAGCCTTTGTCACAGGATTTGCTGGAACAGTGGCTGATGGTTCAGAGGCGACGGGCATGTGGCTGGCGACCTTAGGGCCGATCTTGGAACCAGTCTGTCATACGATACGGCACATAGATTGAAGGGATCTTTGAAGCTTTGGACAGTGGGCCAGCGGCAGGATCAGTCTCAGGGCTCAGGGCCATAAAGCGCACAGAGCTCGGCATTGAAACGTTTTCAGCCTCTGGTCCAAGCCCATAGCGAAGGGGCATGTTGTCCACTGGGCCAGTACAGGGGGCGGTTTTGGGCTTCGAAAGCTAAAGCGGACGGCATGTGCGGGTCTGGGATTCGAAGAGTCAGGAGACAGCAATTTGACATGATTAAGATAGAGCCGCACCGCATAAGGCTCCACAGCGACCGGCCGCTGTATGTCGCGCGTATTCAGACATAGCCAGTGTTTGAGTTGTTTTGCAAATGTGCCCGAATGATATCTTATCAAGAAGCTGCGGCAGGACATGGCTCTACTTGGAGCCAATCTTCAGCTCTGAAGACATCGCTAGCAGCCCAAACATCCTTGGGGGCGGGGATATAGAGGCAACTTCAGATTCTTGGACGTCGGGCCTCAACTCAGATGGTTCCGCAACAGGTCGGCTGTTCGTGCTCGGGGTGTTGATATGTTCTTTGTTGGCTGATGCTGGCCATCCCTGGCTGCAATCTGATGCAAGCAGAGAGATGTCCACCGGTGGAGTCCTGCAAACCGCTCAGGCCCTGAGCAGATGTATGAGAATCCATTCTTCTAGTGACTGCTTGCTGGTGACCGCTTGTTCTCGTCAGGTCAGACAAATGCCCGGGGAAGCCAAGAAGTTCCAAAACGTGGACAAGCTTTGGCCTTGGTTTTCGCAGCCCCCATATCTACGTCCCCGGGTGCGTCCAAGCTCTTCGCAGAGGCTCAAGTCGCACTTGACAGGTAGGTCGAGCTTGCCACGATAAAAGGTAGACAGCTTTACATAAGGTTTCCCGGACTAGGGTTCTCTGAGGCTCTGGCGTGACACCATGGCTGCAGTGGATGAGAATCCGACGGCTGGCGCCCCGGGTAAACTGCAGTGCTTGCGGCCAGGTAAAGCCCTTGAACAACATGCATTTCCATCATGGACTTCCGAAGAACTGGGTCAGCCTACTCGTGACGTCAAGAAAGCCAGGCATAGCCAGGCCATGTTAGGTTACACAGCAGGCCGGGGCCATTGAGCTTGGGGGTCGAGGGGACTTTGTGCTGCGCATAATCCGTGCGTACAGCGCCTGATTTGAAAGCTGGTCTCCCCCGAAGATCATCCCGGCCCCCTTGAATCTCGAGCGGATCCAACCTGTTGCAAAAGCTCCTGTTAAAACCCTCTCTCGAAGCCCGTATGCAGATCGTTGCGACCCAGCTGTCCACTTAGCCTTTCAGGTCTTGGATGTGACGGAGATTGAGAACTTGCTGGTCAACTTTACGGATGCAAACAAGAAGTGGGCTGCCCCGGCGTCCTGTCTTGGCGGTAGTACGGTGAATTTCAGTGACTTGAAAAGCAGAGTGGGGATGCGAGGGACCGCAATCCGGGGTTCGGTCGGGTTTGCAAGACTGCGGCTTTGTATGTGCCTGAAATACAGGGCTAGGTGTTGGCCAGCTCGGAGCAATGCATTGAAACTCGAGCACAGTCTTGCCAATTTGCCTTTCTGTCTTAAGACATATGCTCTTAGCCGGCAGGGCCGTCTTGTCTTCTCTTTGGATGCCCGATTTGGGGAGCCGTTTGTCCTTTGGAGTTTGAGAGCCTCGGATCGCCACTGCCTGCACCCTGCTGATAGGGCCATGGCTCGCCGCATGATCGCCCTGCTCGCCATGGCCGTGGTGGTTTCCGGTCAGGAAGTTCCCAATGCGCCGGCAACACCACAGGAGAGCCCGGCAGCCCCGGTGCCAGCAGCCCCGGTGCCAGCGGCCCCGGTGACCCCGATCGTCGAGCCACCTGAGGAGCTGACCGGTGGTGCGCTGGTGGCCTTCACTCGCAACGAATACTTGGAGGTCTTGGCCAAGGAGGGTATTCCTGCAAGCAGGGGCTGCTGGCTTTATGGAGACTACTTGAACGACATCCCCGGTGTGAACGACCCAGTCTCCTGTGCACAGGCTTGCAGCCTGGACGAGAAGTGCTTTCATTGGAACTTCAAGTTCATGGTGAAGCGCTGTGACCTGAAGGCCTACAACGGTGGCATAAATCAGGACATCGGTGATTGGATCACCGGTGATGCGGCGAGGTACTCGAACCCCCCAGCCGTGATCGTGCCCTGAGCAGCCAGGAGTAGGAGCTGTGGCTCTAGGACAGCTTGAGGCGTCTGAGCATAGTCTGGCAATGTTCCAGTTGAATTCAACATACTAAACACTTAACACACTTCTCGCCGAGGATGCTAGTAAGCTTCGAACGAGCAGACTCACCGGTGGAGCCTCTTTCGGCGAGATGTTGCAGGTACGATATACGGACCTTCTGGCAGTTTCGTCACGCTGGCACTAAGTTCCGCGACTGCGAGACAAAACATGGTCAGCTTGCGCCTGCACCGTGGATGCTCCACGGGGGTCATGCCCTCTGAATTGTAGGAATGAATCCCGGCGCCGACCCGAACCAACATCGCCTGTGTTTTCCGAGTTGCGAGAGTCCAACGTGCAGGAAGCATAACAGCTGTGGGCCTATGTCCCTGGACAGGGGGCCCAACTTTGTAATTAAAAGAAAGATCAGTCTTCGCACCGGACAGAGGTCTTGAGTCTTCGCCCGATTTGAGTTTGATGTCTGGGGAGCCGTTTGTCCTTTGGAGTTTGAGAGCCTCGGATCGCCACTGCCTGCACCCTGCTGATAGGGCCATGGCTCGCCGCATGATCGCCCTGCTCGCCATGGCCGTGGTGGTTTCCGGTCAGGAAGTTCCCAATGCGCCGGCAACACCACAGGAGAGCCCGGCAGCCCCGGTGCCAGCAGCCCCGGTGCCAGCGGCCCCGGTGACCCCGATCGTCGAGCCACCTGAGGAGCTGACCGGTGGTGCGCTGGTGGCCTTCACTCGCAACGAATACTTGGAGGTCTTGGCCAAGGAGGGTATTCCTGCAAGCAGGGGCTGCTGGCTTTATGGAGACTACTTGAACGACATCCCCGGTGTGAACGACCCAGTCTCCTGTGCACAGGCTTGCAGCCTGGACGAGAAGTGCTTTCATTGGAACTTCAAGTTCATGGTGAAGCGCTGTGACCTGAAGGCCTACAACGGTGGCATAAATCAGGACATCGGTGATTGGATCACCGGTGATGCGGCGAGGTACTCGAACCCCCCAGCCGTGATCGTGCCCTGAGCAGCCAGGAGTAGGAGCTGTGGCTCTAGGACAGCTTGAGGCGTCTGAGCATAGTCTGGCAATGTTCCAGTTGAATTCAACATACTAAACACTTAACACACCTCTCGCCGAGGATGCTAGTAAGCTTCGAACGAGCAGACTCACCGGTGGAGCCTCTTTCGGCGAGATGTTGCAGGTACGATATACGGACCTTCTGGCAGTTTCGTCACGCTGGCACTAAGTTCCGCGACTGCGAGACAAAACATGGTCAGCTTGCGCCTGCACCGTGGATGCTCCACGGGGGTCATGCCGCTTTCAATGGTAACAAAGTTCCACTGCTCGGGAAAGGAGTAGGCAAGTGTGTGGACATGGTTGGACGTATGCAGGGGACCCTGCGGGTATCGTAGCTTGTCTGTTGCAGCCACGAAAGGCGGCGTGCTTGGGGTCATGTGCAATGTTAAGTACACATCTGGCACGCTTCGCTCTATACATCCAGAATCTGGAAGCATAGTAACTTCGCATGAGCTACCGAGGCTCGACCAAATCCAGAAGTGCTTGAACGACTACTTGGAGACGAAGCGACTGGCCTTCCCTCGATTCTTCTTCTTGCACGTGCCCCAGCCAGGATCCGGTCGCAGCGTTCAGAGGCTCAGGATTTGCATCGCCTTTCGGAGGGCTGTGCTGTCAGGTCTAACGACGAGCTGTTGATGATCCTGTCCCAGACCAAGGAAGTCCGAGATCACATCCGGCCAGGGTGCACCCCCTTCAACAAGTACACACTTGGCTCAGCATCTTGTGGCTTTTGTTCCCAAGGCCGTTTAAGTATCATTTCCAGGTGCTTCTAGCATCAGATTCAAGGGGCTCGATGGTGGATGTCATAAAGGTGAGGGTCGAACTGGGAGGGAATCGTTAGTCCCTTTTCATGGTTCGATGCTGCGGGCTATGATCATCATCATCATGATCATGGATTGTATTCGCCTTGTGGCTATTCTGGGTTTCCACGTTCTCGTTCCACGTTCTTGTTGCTGCTATTTGGCTTGATGTGCAGGACCCGACGGCCGTGCAGCCCCACATGGGCAAGTGCTTCGAGGGTCGGCGGGGGATGGCAGGGGTGGCAACAGACCGGCTCGGGAATACCGGACTCTCAGCTTCCAAGTCCTTCCTTGCAGTTCCACGCGACCAGGCATCAACAAAGTTCGCTTCGATGGCAATTCTGAAATCATCGAAGCGATGCTGTCCGTGGAGGGTGAAGTGGTGGAGCTCATCAGCCAGGCCACAAAAGAGCTGTCCATGAACTTCAGGAATCCCCTTTCCGTTCGAGCCCAGCCCTTTGACGTGGCCGGCAGGAGGGTAATCGAATGCTTGAGATGTCCCTAGCGAATCTCCGGCAGACGCATGCTGTTTCACGAGTTTTTGGTACCGGATTGAAAGCTAGGCTAGGCGCCCAGGCCTTCTAGGACGGTGTTTTGCCCGAAATTCGGATTCAGTGCGCCTCACCGCAGCTCCCATCTGACTGTGGGTTGCCTTGCCGCAGGTCAACGTCAACGAGGGCGAGAAAAAGGGCAACGTGGAGCGCTGGCTTCTCGAAGTGCAGGAAACATCGGGATGCACCTCCAAGTGTGGCAGTCTGTCGTCCATCGTACTAGAGTTAGAGACTGCCACGGCACTTGAAGTCCAAATTGCATAAGCGGAGGAGAGTATTGAGTCGTCCACACATCCCCATTTAGCGGGAGCAAGTCTGGCAAGCATCACCCCGGCCTTTGGGGAAGCTGTCGCTATCCAGACAGCACGATGCAGGAATCCATGATCAAGACCTTGACCAAGGCCGCCCAGTTCAGTTTCTCTCCTGTGAAAGTCTACATGCTACTTCCTGGTCGGCCCCAGTGGCTCCGAGTGGAGGTTTCTTGTAGGCCCTTTCTAATAGACCTCAGCAAAACGACTATCTCAAGGCTGCAGGTCGCCAAGGGTCGTCCCATACACAAATTGTTGACCTCAGAGCGGCAACCAGAACCAGAGCCTGTTAAGACTAAACTTGTTTTCCTCTTTAATCATCTCTTTCCCGCAAATCCAGATCATGGGGGACTCCGTCCGTTCCTACGCAGAGACGCAGCGGGGCAAGTGGGCCTTGACCTCAGAACGTGTTTGGACATCGGTCCAGACCATGGGCGTCATGGTTCCGAATTCCTTCGAATGCGCAGAACCGAAGCATCGCTGCAGACGAAGTTTCATGGAGTCTTTGCGAGCGAACTGTTCACAACTCCTGACTTGTCTAAGTTCCCAGCCTGATCCGCGCGGTCGAAGCAAGTTGCAATGACTCACTTTGTTGCATGCCTACCTGAGCGTTCACGATTGGCCTCGCTGGTGATTTCTTGGCAGTACGATCTCCTGAAGATCGGACGGAATGCTTCACAGACTCCCGCAAGCATTGCGACTGTCATACGGATTACGGAACACCAAGTCCAAGACAGGACCAGTGCCTGTCGAACTAGGAAGAGTTGAATAGACGAATAGCTTCCATGTCTTGTTCCGGTGGGAGACTGCTTGCAGGTGCTTTCCTGGCCAGGGCAGGTTGTCATCGCGGCCCGGAGCACAGTGGCGCCGATGTAAATCAAGACCTTCATGAATAAGCCTGTTGCAAAAAAGGGGGGCTTAAGGCACTGACAGGGATTTTGGGCTGCAAGGTGTTGATCGAGAGTTTTTCAGTTAGGGATAAAGGACATGCAAGCAGGATTTTCGCTACTTCCCTTTGATTTATCAGGTTTGACTCGTTAGGCTGTTACAAGGGCTTGCGAGGTTCATCTGTCGCCGGAGCGTCTCATCCCTGCACCTGCCTTGGCTTAATCAACCGGCGGTGCTACACCGTGATTGCTGTTAGCCGTTAGCAGCACTTCTGCAGTGTCCCCCCCCCCCCCCCCCCACGCGGTAGCTAGAATGCAGCAGGAGTCAAGGTTTGCGAGAACGCATCCGGAAACTTCACCAAGAACCGTTTGCATACGCGAGAGGATGGGACGACGAGCCGACCAACCATAGACTGTTGGAGTTCACCAAGGTCGACAACATTTACTGGACGCAAGAAGTGGCGGAAGCAATCGAGAAGGGGAATTTGGACAGCTATTACCAGGCTAGCTGACGTTCGGAGCTTGCGGCTGTCTCTTCTCGCATGAGAGCTTTTTGTGAGCACAGGGTGGGTTCACACTTGTTGTGCCAGACCACGTGATGAATCTGGTAGCCATTCCCCCGAACCAGAAGAAAGCCTTTCTGTCGCATCGGGCTGTGTCCCACTTGGACTTGGGATCCTCTTGTCGTCTCGGGTTGCGCCAGCTGACGCTTGGCATGAGGCACATTCAGGTTGTTGTGCTTGGCTGTGCAACAAACAGCAAGTAGGCAACCTCCCCGATGCCGTCCAGGCTCATATTTACAGAGTGGGTCTTGCGTGTTTAACATGTGTTTCAACCTGAGATTAGGTACTGCTCGTCGGGTCGGAACGGCACAGCACTATGGACGTTTCCCTGTGTTTGAATTTTTGCTTCCAGTGCCTGGCCTAGTTGCGGCCCTGCCATGTCTCCTGCCGAAGAAGAACATTCCCCACCATGGATGGTTGTCCTGGCGACGCTGTTTGCAATTCTGTGCCTTGTTCGAAGATTGCGCGTTCAATGCAATATGAACTAGATACGCCTAGACGGCATATTGTCGAACATGCCAATGTGCTTGCATGCACCAAGTCGCCTCAGACCCCGCACTTCCAAGATCAACCTTTGCCTTCAGTCAAACTGTTGCGTCAGCTCGACCCACCGAGGCGATAAGTTGTTCCTACCCTCTATATAGTCTATACTGGTTAGGTAAACAGAAGGTGAGACTGATATAGCTTGCCTTCCGAGGGCAGGAGACCGATTTTCGAAAGACGTGCAGACTGGGAACCTACCTTCCCCTGAACCTTTGCCATACTGTATGACTGCCAACTGTGCGCAGGTTGCCACAAGCGATTGTTGTTGCAGCCTTTTCCAGCATGGGAGCGGGAATCCAGATCGCAGAGATGGCAGTCACGAGGCCGCAGCGGCATTTCTGGCTCGGATCAGCCATCTGAGAGTTGGCGTGCGCACAACTAATCGCAGATGCACACATGAGACGTGTGTCTACATTTCGAAGCAGCGTGTGTTGTACATGTGGGCATGTGGGAATCCGAAGGTTGTAGGTGCCTGACCGCATGCGCCAGGGTGGGCTGTGCGGCTCCCCCAGTGCCGCACGTGCGTTTAAAACTTACGTTGCATTCATGTCCGCGCCGCCCAGCAGGAAACACTAACGGGCTGGCGATAGCATTATAATAAAGTATATGAATAGCATGGTATCATGCAAAGGGGTACAATGTCTTTCCCTCCTTTGACCTTCCTGCGCTTATACTGTGAGGGTCTTGACTCATGATTTTCTATACAGCTCGCAGATGTATCGGAAGAAGTTCGCATGCCAGCTTCGGTTAACGATCTCTGAGGCTAACAGCCAGATCGACATGCTTGGCAATGCCGCTGGTGGGATCTGCCTTCTGCTTCTAATCTTCGCGTTTGTCATCGACCTCTTCACTCGACCATTTTATGCTGCTTGGACGAAATGCATGCGACCGCCAATGCCAAATACTAGTACAAGCCTTGCTCTTCCACAAGCGCAGACGGCACCGGAGAACAAACGGTATGGCATATGCTCTAACATTCAGCATTACCGGTTTCTTGTAGAGAGCCGCTACCTGCGTTCTGAGAACGCAACCCGGAAGGTGCAGCTGCCCGTGGGGTTGATTATGGCGTGTGCATTCCTCGCGGCTGCATCCATGAAGCTACGGCCGCATGTGGAAGCTGCTATGTACATGTACAGGTGAGGATGCTAAATGTAAACTTCTGTTCCACCAAGCACCATCATTCATCAGTCGTCCCTGCTCAATTTTCTGCCTGGCAAGGCGACAGGATGTAACGATCCAGCATTCACACCCTGACAATCATTCGGCTGATAGCTTACATAGACTCTCCGAGTCCATGGGCGCCGAGATCCCAAAGCCACCCTGAGCAGACCACTGCCTTCCCTGTACTCCCGCTTCGAGGAAACACGTCTCACTGCCGTGGCTCAGTGGGCTGACATGCCTCGCCTTCACCGTAGTGATGTTGCTTGGCAATCCTTTGCAGGGTTTGGGCTCCAAGAAGTCGAGGGCAAGCTTCTGTTGATGTGCAGTGCAAGCGGTTCCACAGTACCTCCGGCTGCACTCTTCGCGACCGTTTTGGGTTGGCACCCCGCAAGATGAGTGACTGAGAAACCTTGGGACCAAGCATGCCAAATTCCTCTACACGAACCCGCAAGGATAGTGATCGTGCGGCGGCGGTGTTTCAAGCCAGGGCAGGTCAGCGGTCGAGACTTCTTCAACAGCTGCTTGCCTTTTCGAGCTGCCATGAAGTTTGTAATCTTGATTCGCTTGTCATGCTACGCGATTGGGTTTGCGCTTCATGTTTCGTGCTAGAGAACGTCAGCCTGCACAGCCTGTCAGAAAGCGAGGTCTTGCAGCGAGCTTCGTCCTCGGGGCGCTGATCGCGATAGCGGCATGGGTTGGTTGGATGGCATTTGCTGACAGAATGTGGTTCGAAGAAACTCGAGTTTGGCTAGCAGCTGAGACGCTTGGGCGTTGTTGGTAGGACATAGGAAACCTGGGTGGTGCAGAACAGCCATTGTTCCATGAGCAGTTCCGCTCCGGCAAGACTCGGCATTAGCATGAAGGCTCGAAGCAAGAGCTTGGATCCCATATGGGCAGGTAAGGATGCCCAAGTCCTGCCGGGTAGTACCGTTTTGCTGGCGCCTGCTGGCGTTTGTGTGACATGTGCACGAACATAACCGTCGCTGTGCTCTCTTGAGGAACTCGGCAGTGTATGCATACTTCTACACGAACTTCACCTTGGACTATCCGACCTATTGCAGCTCCGAGACCAAGAATGCCACGCTCCTGAGCACATTCTCGGATGACGGCCGTGCGCAGATCCAGTCCGCCTGTTCAAAATCAGAGATGCTCTGCTGCATGTTATCGCTGCCGTTCGCTGGCATGCTGTTTAGTAAGTTTATTTGTGATGCTCGAAGATGTCTTGAAGACGTGGGTTTGAGCTAAAAAGTTAGTATAGAGTCTACCCCACCGCATTCTCGAGCAGCTCCGCATTTGCTAAGCCTCTTCGTCATGTGTGCGGAGGCTCTGGTCAATTCGAAGCACATGTAGCTCGTGCGCGGATGTGAAGATAGATGGTTCACTGCTCCAACCTGGAGCTTCAGGAGTGCAGAGTTGATTAGGTCCGACGCGACACTCCGGAAAGATGACTTGAGGAGTGGTGCATGCAGTAAGTGGCATCTTGGATTCGGCTCAAAGCGTGCATGGGTTGTCTGGGGAGCTGCGACCAAGGACGGTCTGGTTCCTGCAGTGGTCGGCCCCATGCGCTGTGGGCATTTGCAATATCATCCTCGCGGCATTCAGTTGGGTCTTTGCCCAGGCCATCTGTCGGCCATGGCTTGCAAGCTTAAGGGGCCAGGGAGCACCGTGGCGGGCTGATGGAACTGTTTGCAACTTTGAACACTCCCACAGGCGACCGGGGGCGTCGATTTGCGAGTTGGCAGCGAAGCTGTGCGTGTCAAGAAGGCACTGAAGCTTTGCCTGGCACTGGTTATCCTGATGATAGCCATTATGCCACTTGCTCGGCCTAGGGGTTTGGGCAATTAGGCATCTGAATGCGGCAGTTTTCAGGTATTCACAGGTTCAGCCGGCAGCCTGCAGGAGCCGCACGTTCTGAGCAACCGAGGTATACTGCACAGTATGTGTCGGGTGCCAACGTCACCGTGACTCGGCGCATGGGAGCGTCTGCGGTCCGGTTGTGATTCTGGCGCTCTGTAACGAGGTTATCTTTGTGAGAACACCTGACCAGCATGCAATCGTGTTTCCCTACAGAGATGATGAAGCTCGGAATTGTTCTAACGCAAACCTGGCTGGATGGACAGGGCTTCAGCAGACAACAAATCAATAGAGTATGCGGGGTCTCGGAGAATCTATCGCCACCTCGCTTGGGTGACCTGGCTAGTTGTAGCGCCAGCACCCAATCGTTTGCAGCAGTAGAAGTTCAGGGCTTCATGCCACGAGGGGGAGTGGAATCTAGGGCCTAGGGCCCAGGGTTGAGAGCGCGAGGTGAGCGCCGGACTCGTGTGCTTAGCCGCCGCTTCCTTGGCGGGGATCCTTGGATTCATGCTCCTGGAGCTCCTTGGCTACGCGAAGGGCAAAATTGCTCCTTTATGCCCCTTTCCTCTTTGTACATACAATAGTAATAGTTATATAGCTATACATATATGTATGAAGTAACCTGTTCGACCTGTCTCTTCTCCGACGTGCGGCCGCGTGCGGCCCAGGTTTGGCTTCGACAAGCTCAACGAGGTTTCGACCCAAGATGGCTTGGCGAAGAACCTGGCCGGGCGTCGAAAGAACACCCCGAGTAGAATTTGGCAGACGGCGGTTGCGATTGTTTCATGTAGCCGATAGGACTGATAGGAATTAGCAAAGGATGGCGACTGTGCCATTGACCTGCTTTCGGAGAAGACATTTATCTGACCCCTGCGAGGTAAGCATCTTGAAGTCAGACTGGATGAAGGCAATCGCTGTGGGCGGGCTGACTCGCGACAGCCTTTGAGATGTTCCACCTTTCTCGGGTTGTCCCCGAGGTCTCATAAAGATTCAGACCTCCCTCACTGGCCCGCTTCGGACCTGAGAGGTCCTTAAACAAAAGCCCAATCAAGTTCTTATGCAACACACCACAGGCGGAGTTTCGGTTGCAGCTCCTTCCCTGTCGTAGCAGGGTCACGGGGGGGGCAGTCTGTGCACAAACGAGGAATGTGTTCATCCCCATCATCGCACTGCTCGACATCTTGAGACAGGCTGTTCGGAACCTGTCCAGCATCGGAGTTTTCGTGCTGTTAACATCACACATGTCCTGGCTTCGAGGTTCTAGGCGATTGACAGAGAAGGGTCCAGGCATCGCGACACGCAGTGTCCTGCTCTAAATCCCTTGTGGTGTGCGGGAGAATTCGTTTGTTCTCCTGCTGCCTCTGAGTCTGATGATGCCCACGACTTTTGCTGGGCGACGGGTCTGGTCTGCCATGCAAAAACCACACTCCTGAGGTCCAGAATTGATGGGCCATGACGAGAAACGGAACACACAGACACATTGATTTTGAGGTGTACCAGGCTTGCGTCGCATGCGTGATCGATATAGGTAGCCGAGATATGTTACACCTCAACATGACGCTCTGCCGCTGCTTCTCAGGAAGTGTACTCGAAGCACTCTCAGCACTGATATCTTCACCGTGGAGGGTCGACGAGTGGTGCGGGAAATGCGCACATGGGCCTGGTGCAACATTTTCTTCAAGGCAGGGTCAGACAATTGAAGGGATTGTATGCGGAGCTGTTCGCCGAACGAGTCCCACGCTGCAGAAGTGTTTCAGGTGTAGCATGTGTGCCTATTTCTGATTTCTCTCATAAAGAGATTCAATCACATGCCATAGGCACTAGCGTCACTGAAGCCATGTGAGATGTGAGGGTTTCGAACGTGTTTGCTTTCGCTGAGGGGGCTTGGTGCCCGTGTGGACTGTTTCGATTTATGAGATGCGGGGCTTGTGCAGAGTTATAGCCATGGCGGCCTGGTTTGCCGCAAACTCTTGCGCTCCCAGGTTGCCTAAAGATGCTTATACAGATGCCCCCTGTTGTGTGGTCTGTGGTCTGTGGTTGAAGCATATCGAGGCTTAGCTAGTCGAGGTCAAGCGTGGAGTTACAGTGTGTCCATAGGGGTCCCGTCGACGCTGGCCAAAGGCGTCAGTGAAGGTAGCACCTCCAGACGACCATTCTGACCATATCTCCGTGCTGTCTTCGCCGTTGACGTCGGCCCTGTAGATCGGCTTATGTAGTGAAGTGGTGCCCATGTCTCATCGCTTGTTGCGATCGTGGAGGTGAACATGCTTGGCGAGCTTTTCGTGGCTCTTTTGCTCGGAGTCATGGCAGATACAGGTTTGACGGTTCTTGCACACGTGCAGCGAGTCGCTGCACAGGGGCGACAAAAACGTGCTTGGACAGAATGCCTTTGCGAGCTCCATCGTCGGTGGTGTGTGGTGTTTGTTTCCGGTCCGGGCATGCGTGGGGCACATACGTGCACAGGCCAATGCGTGCATGTGTGTATACACTTCTGCATTTACGAAGATCCTGTACGCATAGGTACACATATGGTGTGTGTATATATATATATATGTATGTGCATGTATACATGTAGCTATATTAGCATATGTATGATTATGTATGTAAATCATTATGACACATGTGTAGACCTGTAGACACACACAGTTTTTTAGTACATATGTTTTTGTTTACTGACTTATTTGTGTATTCTTTTATTTATCCATGCTCTCCTTTCATTTGTGCAGACATGCTCGTACATGCACATGTACAAACACTCGAATACATACATATAGATAGATAGATAAATAGACGATAAGTACAAATACATGCATACCCATGCACGTATACATACATGTTTGTTAATGTACATGTATGTAGGTCAGGTATGTATGTATGTATGTATGTATGTATGTATGTACCTACGTATGTACGTATGTATACATGCATATACACACAGACATACGGACATACTTACGACATACATCTGTTTGTGCCAATTCAGCATTCTGAAAGGCAGGCTGCGCCTACTGAATACTAGACAGACGTGGCAGAGTTCCGAAAGATCCCGCAACTCCCCACGCCGAAACATGGCGCATCCGTGCAAGGAATGAAGCTCACCTACGTGTTCTTTTCCTGGCTGAACGAGACGTGCCTTGGATCTAAGCAGCGTTTTGCCTTTTGCAGAGCCTGGTGCGTTTTCTGGAGAGCCTGGAGCTGAGTTGAAACCCTGGGCCCAGGCTCGCTGCCATGAACTTGAACTTCCTGATCCTCTCCCTGTTGGTCTGGGGAGTTGGCTTGGCCATGCACCTTTCCTGCGTTGCGAGGGCCACGCTAGGGCCGGGCCGCTCGGGATATGCTTTGGCTTTGCTTGGGGCGACCATGACAGTTCTCTCACAGTCCTCGCTAAGACGGCTTCAAGACTTGGCAAGTCCTCAAAAGAGTCAGTGTGGCACAGTGGAGATGGCAACGACCAGCACAGCTCTTCTTTCACAGGGGCTTTCCAACTTTATGTATGCAAGTGACTGTAGCACCGAGTGATAGTCCTGAGATATGACCAGCCGCGGATGTTTAGGTGTATCAGGCGCACATTCTGCAAACTAACTGGTGTTGGCCGGTCTGGTCCTGGGATCAGCTTTAAGGCACAAAGGTATGCGCTCCTAAGAAGCTTCAGGTTTCGGCGCGCTAGAAGCGACTCCATCCTAATAGTGCGTGATTTCACCCTGAATTGGCCGCAAGGTTCCTGTGCCCGATCGTCCCGGGCAGTGCGGTGTACCTTTTTGCAGGCCACAGCTTACTCCGACTGTCGGTGCCTTGCACAAGTCGTCACTAACATGAGGCGAGTCCAACGCTCATGGGTTCGGGTTCATGCAGACATGCTACACGCAGCTTTCGTCCAACACAGTGCGTGTTTGCCTCGTGCTGTTTTGGGTTGACCTTCGCGGTGCATTTAGTCTGGTCACGCTTCTCCACAGAACTCGAGCCATTCCAGTGCATCCTCCTCGCTCGAAATCCTGGTAGGCGTGGTCTGCGGCGCCCAGTCGCAGCTGGCAGGCTCCATTGGCTTCCCTGCTGGTGTGGCTGTTGCCGCTGTAGCACCACGGCTGGAGCAGTGGGGTTTGGGCATTGAGGTGTGTCAAGCACCTGTAGGGTGTCGGCAGCTTCCAGATTTCGTTGTGTTGGTCTCACCCAGCACTTGCCCCAGCGTTGCCAAAACCGCGGTTTTGAGGAGTGCCGCTGAATAGCTTAGGTGTGCTCGTGTGCGAAGCTGATGGCTTGCTGCCTACAGTACGCGATGGGCTACGCAGCGGGCCAGTCTGTAAAGGTGCAGCAGCGACTCACCTGAGAGATTGAGGGCCTTGTTTGAGCTCAGTGCCCCAATTTGAGATTTGCTCATTTCTTTAGATTAAAGAACCTGCCCCCTCAGAGTATCCGCTCCTACTTTTTTGGAATGTGGTCCAGTGCTAGTTCACGTCAAGGATGAGAAAGGTTCTAGCGCTTATAATATGTCCGCTCAAAATCAGAGACGAGAAAGGAACCCCGAGTCGGGGTGTTACTTGAATGGCATTTGCCAGGAAACCGCGCCTCGTCATGCCTGAGAAGTAAATTCAGTACCGTAGGGCATTCCCAATGCAAGCACTTCGTGGCTGTTGAGGTTCGTAGGCGTGGACAAGGTGCCCACGCGTGCGATGGAACAGATTCTGAAGCAGGATGGTCTTAAAATTGATAAAGTGGCCATCCTTGTTGGGGGGCCAGACTGGCCGACAAGTGTGCCTCAGTTGCAATAACCTCGTCGGGGCTGTGCTGCAATGCGAAGTGCAACCTCTTCCAGCATGGATCCGGTTGCACCTTGTAGTCGATTGTTTTGGGCATGACAATAATTATAGTACTTACTGGTTGTAGTGAGCAATCCCTGATTTTTGTTTAATCGCTGGCGAGAATGTCAGTCGCAGCAGCACATCTACAGCTTTCGCTTAAAGCTTACTCAGGGTGGGAAGTGCACCCTGCCCCAAACTTCAAGCATGTCTCATTTGTCTCGTCATCTCCAAGCCTTTAATGTTGCAGCCCCACGCGAGTACCGCGAACACTGAGTCGCTCAGGTGCTGTGCGGTATCCTCCGCCTCAGAATCCCTCAGATGCTGCATCTTGGCTTCACGGGGGTTGAAGTCTTTCAGCATCGCAAGATCTTGAGCATGGCTTTGACAGACATATACAGATGTGAATTGCAGACCGCTGTTGCCGAAATTCGACACCTGTGCCGAAGGCTAGGGACCACCCCTGTCATCTTCGTGAGCATCATTCCGCAGTGCTTGGTGGGAGCGCTCCTGACATTCACAGGTCCCGATTGCAAATGTCAAAGGGTTCTGGTGTTGTCCACATCGAGTCTGTGCCGAGTTGCTTCCGTTGCAGGCGATACCTCGGGCATCATGCCCATGGTCTCTAGCGCCGTGACTCTGGCGGCTGCCACAGTGCAAGCCTCCGAGATGTTCTTCTTCAGCTACCGCATCATGAAGGTTGCGCGGCAAGGATATTTCCAACACTCTTGGGACGCTGGAAATTCGGGCTTCGGGTTTTTGCTTTCACTTGTCGGATATCGCGACAAATCGTAAAAGCGAGCCCGTCGGGGACGGGATCGTGAATGCAGGGGAAACTCTAGGCAACTATGTCTCTATGCTATGTCTCTATGTGTAGCTGATATGTTTGTATGAATCGCACCCGGTTCGCAGCACGCGCAAAATCAACGAATGCAAGTTCAATTCAGCAGAGGCTGTTGCCCCGCATCGCATTGCGTGCCAAATGGGAGCCAACAAATTCAGCACACGGCCAGATGCAGACGACGGCAGCAAAATGCGAGTGCGAGTGATTAATTGCTGGAAGCTCGACAAAGTCCTTTCTGAAGCCATCCTACAACCGTAGTTGAGCACAAAGGGCCTGAACAAAGAAAGGACACGTCGTTGGAGTATTCTCACAGGTCGTCGAAGTGGATGGGGAGAAGCTTGCGTTGCCCCGGCCAGAGCACGAAGCTGTTGCAGAGCTCACCCGGAAAGAGGCAGCATACGTCGCGGCCCTGAAGGCTTCCGAGCTTGTGCACGTCGAGTTTTGGCTGTTTGAACGGCTTTTGTTTGGGTCTGCCGTAAACAGCGGTTTCAATCAAGGCTGACTTACATTGAACCTGAGAGGCCAGACAATCTAGCCGAGGAGCTGTAGGTGGCAGGTTCAAACGCCCCAATATGCGAAACGGATGAGGAGCAGGTGTTGTAAACATTGTAGCCTGACGGAGGGAAGGAGGGCGTTGATCTTGATTTTGCTTCGCTTTCAGCACCTCTTTGGCCCACGCCTTGCTACCGACATGCACGTGTTGAGCTAATTTGAAAGTGTGGGGATGCGTACCGATGGGCCCCAGGCCCCAGGCCGGCTGTCCTGCAGCTTGGATCTGCGGGGCAAAACGAGAAATAAGCGTGGGTGTCCTTAAATAGGACATGGCAGCAGTTTTAGATCTTAAAGGCCCCAGGCAGTCCGATATTGCAGGCTTCAAAGTACCACTCACGCACTGAGTCCCGCCCTGAAGGAGACCTGCAATTGGAGCAATATGGGTTGCCTCCAGAAGCTCATGGTCTTGTTTTCGTCCCTTTGCCTGCTCTTGGCGGGCTTTGTTCTGGCTGCCGACTACTCCTTGGGAGACCAGTTCTGCTTCAGAAGCTTCAGCATCACCAGCAAGATTGGTGACCCGTTCGAACTCGGTGGCTTAGACGGCCAAGCGCTGAATCTAGTAGTTGTTCCAGCAGGCTGGGCCGCTTTAGGACTGGCTTTCCTGGGCTTTTTCACCCATATCATCGTGAGCAAGTGGTTGGCATGTGCGGCCAGAGCCAGACTTCTGAAAGCGCCGCAGCCCGAGCAACCTGCAAGCACCACGATTGGCAAAGTGAACTACGATGCCTTCAAGGGGCAGGAATAGCTAGAGATGTTCCGATGCATGCAATAGTGCGTGTGCACAAAGCACTGACAATGTCTCGCGAGGTCTCCCTGCAAGCATCTTCTCAACCCCAGGTCGGTAGTCAACTAATCTCCGACACTCTGAGCACCAGACGAGAAGGATTGCAACGGCATACCTCTTCAGAAAGTAGATGGAAAAGCGCTAGAGACACAGTCACTTGAAATGTGCATGGTCTATGCCGTCACTAGATCTTGGATTTGGAGAGAGGCCTGCAACTATGGTGCCACGCCGTTTTTTGCAAGGGGTGTGCGCCAACCCTCACAATTAGTGCGACGAGTGTCAGGTATGGGGGGCGACGGTGTTGAAGCCAAACCCGTTGCCCGACATCATAATCCTCTGCCCGGAGGTGGAACATGAGAGGCACTTAAAGTTAGGGTCGCAAGCAAACCCACTTTAACCCACTTGACGCTCGGCTGTGCTTGCAATCTTGCCAAGATCTTTACAGGGCTCTTTGCGGCTCGGTGCGTGCATGCTGTTGGGCATGCTAAGTGGCTTTGGCAAGATCTTTCAAGATTCAAGACAGGCTCGTGTCACACCCTTGATTGTCGGTTGCTGGTGATCTGCTGCGCTCATGTGCCCAAAAGAGCAGCAAGAGAGAAACTGGCGAGTTTGGGGTCTTACTTGTATCACCTTTTACAGCAGCACCTGAATCTACGCTTTTGTCGGTCAGCCTCCAACCGCTTGATGGACTCCGACGCTGGCCAGCCTAAGATTCGGAGGTCGGTTTGGCGCCCCGTATATGTTAGGTCGGTCTGGTACACGCGAGTGTTCGCCTCGGTGTTCCGGCTCGCCCCGATCTCGTGGTCGCCTCGTCTGTCTGACACTTTCCGTGCCTTTGCAGGGCTATAGACACGGTCGTACCCAGCGGTAGACAGCAGGCGGCGAAGGCTCAAGTAGGTCTAAGTGTAGCTAGACTGACTAATTACTTTAATGCTGGTTTCGTAGGCTACGAAGCATTCTTGTTTCTCTGATCAGCCCTCCAGCCCGCCTTCTTGGCCGAGTAGCCCGTCGCCCGTTTTTGCGCAGACTTGTGCGTCGCAACTCGCCGACCTGGTGGAGCTCGTGCGCGGTGAGCTCTCCAAGTTAGAGCGGAAGACGCTCACGGTCACCGGGCTGAGCTCAGGGGTTCTGAATCTGAAATTCAAAGGATGGAGCGAGATGGTTTCCTAAGCCTGTTTAGAATCTGCAGGCCAGGAGCTGTGCCCTCAATGCCTCAATCTGTCATCGGGGAATCTGTTTGCTGCTTTCAAGAACTCCGTGCAGTTCCTGGTAGTGTGCACTTTCTTGGAGCGTCTTGTCCTTCACGTATGTTTTTGTGTGTGCGTGTGAGCAGGGTTAGTGAGAGTCCACAAGCTCCCGAAACATGTGGTGGATCGGTTTGTGGTTCACAAGGGCCAGAGGTCAAAATGCAACTTTTACATTGCTGGATCCATTCCTCTGTGCCTCATTCACTGCAGTCGTCACAGAGGCTATGGTGACCATTGATGTGCACAATCGGGACGTGGTGGGCAGCCTCCGCGACGCCAAAGTCACTTCGCCGAAGGCCGGTGCTTGAAGCCACATGAAACTCTTGGTGGGCTCGGCTGAAGGTCGGATTGAGGTAGTCGGCCGGAACTACAACACAATGAGGGACAACGTCAAGGTACTTGTACCTTTATGGGGTTGCTTAAGGGTTGAAGGTTGGGAGCCTTCAAGCCGTTCTTTCGCTTCGCAAAGTCTAGGGTCGCGAAACCCCATGATTGCAACAGCGAGTGTGAACAAGAACGCGTGAGTTGAGTTCCTTTCCCTCTCTGTCTTTGAGTCCCTCAGAGTTTCGGGTTCTCCTACGACTGCAAGAACTGCAGCTACCAGGGACCGCAGGAACCTAGGACCGTGGCGTCTGTCGCCGACGAGAAAATGGTATTGAAGTCTTAGAGCAAACCTTTTGCGATGGACAATCCTAACCCCGACAGCGAAGAGGAACCTCGCCTGGCATGTCCGGGAGTGAGCGCCGAACCCTGATAGCCCAGCACCATTATAAATCCTTGGTGGAGCACTTTCGCTGCAGGACTTTGACTGGATGGCACAGCTACGCTACTACTGGGCACCTGCCTTACGTGAGAGGACATGACTGCTCCATTATGGATCAACCTGTCAATGAGCTGCTGTAGTCAAGTCGGGCATCTGCTGAGGTTTTCTGTAACGTGCCACGATCAGTCGCCAAATCAATTGTCGATGCTCCTTGCCAAGGCCCCCACTGGCTCCATCATCATGTATGAGACGCAGAAGCCCGACGCTTGTAGGGTTCAGCGGAAAGTGGCATGGTTGTTTGCATCGTTTTGGGCATTGGAAAACATGTTTTTGAGAGCCAACTGTAGACTGTAGAAGTCCTTGCCTCGTGGAAGTGCGCTGGCTGCTTTTGTTGGCCAGCCGTCACGGGGTCTCATGTGCGGCCGGTTTACCCAAACCGTTTGTGTGATCGCTCGGGTTCTTAACCGTCTTAACCCGCAACAAAATGGAACTGTGCCCAGGCCAAGTACTGTGGACAACTGCCAGGTGTCCATCATCAATGCCATGCCCTTAAGCCCTTGGCTTTGCCTGTTGTCTTGCAAGACCGCTAAATATGTCGGCCCAGCCTCGAGAATGAATCGTTAAGTATACTGTTGCTGCATAGTAATAGTGCGACGCCGCGTAGGCTTGATTGGTGAGCTGCAGAGTCGAAATGGTTCCAGCTTATGTCATTCGTACAAACGTGCTTCCGGCAGTCCCTGCAGGAAGAAGCCGGATAGTCGTTTGTTTGCCACAATTGGCAACATGGCCACATCGCCAGGCTACGCTTCTGTACGGCTTTGAGTATCTGGGCAACAGCGATCGCTTGGTCGTCACGCCGCTGACAGACAGGTGAGAGTGAACGTTCTGATAGTTTCCCCTTTCATCACCTCTGTAGCCATCGCGACACGTCGCGAGGTGCTACAGGACATTGATGGGTGCTTTCCACCTCTTCTATGGGGGTGCCCCAGAAGGGCCTGCAGGCGGGACGGGTCTCAAGGTGGGCCTGGCTTTGAGGCCGAAGCTTCCGGATGAAGATAATATGCTGAGTTTGAGGCATCAGATTTTCGGAGAAAGGCTGCATCTTCCTTGGTGGCCCTGCCTAGGCACTGGCAAGACAGAGTCCACGAAGGACTGCAGAAATGGTTTGTGCCTTCGTATGTGTTCACGACTCCATAGAAGTGGTTGTGGTTGCTACAGAGATGAGTCTGGCTTCATGGGTTGATATGTTCGTGATGTCAGGCTAGTTTCTGGAGCGAAGAAAAGTGTCGCCTGTTTGCTGTCCAAGAGAATGCACGGGTCTGTGCATCATGATGGCCTCCAAGTCCTGCTTGCACATTTTGAGGTGTCATCAAAGCATGGGCTTCGTCCCGACACCTTTCAATTCAGTACTGGCACGAGGATGACCATGCAAATTTGAAAAGCAGCAACATTCGGCTCGGCACAGACACAGACACAGACACAGACACAGACACAGACACAGACACACACACACACACACACACACACACACACACACACACACACACACACACACACACACACACCACACACACACACACACCCCACACACACACACACACACACACACACACACACACACACACACACACACACACACACACACACACACACACACACACACACACACACACACACACACACACACACACACACACACACATACCCACACACACACACACACACACACACACACACACACACACACACACACACACACACACACACACACACACACACACACACACACACACACACTCC